GTCCACATCCAGCAGGAGAGCTGCCAGCGCATTTGGTGTGCGAAGTAGCAACAGATCATGCAGCTTAGAGAAAGCAGACATGAAGATGCTGAATGCAGTGACACTTGCATGAACCCTATTAAGCGACAATCACTGAAGCTTTGGAAACAGCAAGCCAGTTCTGCTGACGGCTGCCGGGTGCTTGCTGAAGCCAGTTGCACAGTAGCTGAGGAGACTTTCAATGTTTGTGCTGGTTTTCACTGATAGCTCGTGGAATGATGGGATTTACGTCCTCGATGGAAAGTGCGACAAGGTTTGGGGTGTCAAGGCGACTGAGTAGCGCGATCAACGAATCCATCTCGACATACCCCACATACCCCAAGTGAAGCTCCTCAAGCATCGGAAGTGACACGACACCGCGACAGTGATATGGCTGCGAAAGGACCGGCCCAGATTCCCTAATGAGAAGTCTTCGCAGCAGAGGACACACATTGATTATTGCTGAAAACTGATCAAACGTTGGCCTGAGAGTTCTGTCGTGGTACGAAAGCTCCAATGACTGAATGCAGTGACCCACACCAAGGGTACAAATGAAACCTGCCCAGTTCAACGGAATACCAAAGATATCCACGTGTCGCAGTTTCGGGAGGGGGTGACATGGCGCAGGAACTTGCGCAAGGGTGTCTTGATCAGACGCGCCAGTCAAGATGGCGAATGGGACACTATCAAGCTCCAGAGGAGGGAGGAATTGTTCTGCATGGGCATGGTAAAAGTCATTGGATCGCTTGAGCTTGATGAACTCAAGACACGAAGCTGCTGAACCACCTCGAGTCGGATTGTGCGAGCTGAGAAGTCGAAGTGCAGCACAAAGTGGCTTCAAAGTATCGCTGGTGACCTCCAGCGAACGCCATCGGTCCATCTGCAGGAACAAAAAGGCAAAGAGGTGGGGCAAACAGTCTGCATAGAGTTGGCTGGTTTCAGTTGAGGACGGGGACATGCACCTGAAGGTAGAGACATTTAGACTTCCTTGAGTTGTAAATAAGGCGAACATCTTGCCCGATCAATTCACGCGATTTTGGATCGCGAGCGTCGATGAGAATGTCCAGCGAGGAATGTTTCGACTGCATGATAAAATTCGATAACTGATCAAAGGGTTGTTTATGGAAGGTGAATACGTGATTGGGATGCGATCAGATGAGCGCCTTGAGATCAATACTGAGTGTTGACCATAAGGTCGGGACAGATAGTGCAAGCTTTCTCCAGCGGGAATTCACGGACGCCAGTACAGTTGGCAGAGTTACACTTTCAGGACTGAATACGCGTCCTTCTTCAGAGTCACAGTCGTGTGTGGCTAACGTGAATATGTATGACAGTAACTCCACTGGAAGGGACTCGATATGACACCGTGGGACAACCTGGGAACTCATGGAATGATATTCGAGCAATATATTTGATGGTAGATGATGGCCAGAGGTAGTCGCCTGTGAAGCACCGATCAGCAGCACAAACAGGTGAATAGTGAAGGTAAGAGCATGAACAAGAGTAAGCTCGGATGAATCGATGAGTTAGATTTGACAGCAGCTACGGATTGACACGTAGAATGATACGGTAGACGATGTAGAAAGCGAGGAAAGTGCGCGACAGTACAAACTGTTTTAATGTGACAGGTAGGTGGAAAATGTGTGCAGATTGATCCTTGGAATTATAAGGGATCGATGACAATGAAGTTTGGTGTGGAAAGTGAAACCGGAACGCAACAATAAAGTGTGGTGACACGCAGGATTTAAACTGAATATGTGGATCAGGACCACTGAAGTTGAATCGAAAAAGCTGAGGACAACAGTACAAGTATTTCACACAAGTAGGGAGGTGAATGGGTCGGGCGACGCTAACAACATTATGCACCGCGGAGGAATAAACAGCTGGGATGACTTTTTAAATTTAAAATAAAGGTAAATTTGTATAGTACAGCGTTCTGTCATGCAATGGCAACGACGGGGAGAAAGGAACACGATGATGACCGACTGAAGTCAGGAGGGTACTAAGCAGGCGACAAAAAACGACACATGACCGTACACACAGTCATGCCGCATGAAGCATGAATAGGGTGAAAATTCGTTTATCGTGGACGTTGAACCATGGAGTAGGAAGATGAGGAATCGTTCATTGAAGTGAAAGAGCATCGAGCATTACGAGCTTGATGGTACAAACCATCGAGCTCCGGGCGACGAAAGCTTCGTCATGTGTTAATTGTCATCCTGACAAAATTTCAGGTCAATGAAGGAAAGACACGAAAATACAAACTGTCGTGCCATAGCCAAGGGAGATGGACGCGATGGTACATACCGTCACGCCAGGGGAAGTTCAAGAGAAGTAGATTAGTCTAACCAAGTGCATGTGTCACGTGTCACGTGTGAAATTAATATTGCATACGGGAATCATTAGGTAAGTTATTTGGCATTGTTGGGCTCTTTGCATCTCCAAAGTTCCAAGTCCATTAATTCTTACTAGTATACACGTTTAATTTACCTTCACTTTTCCTTGCACACGGACTCGACAGTTTGTATTGCCGAGCTCGTCGTTGTAGGGATCCCTCATTATGCTCTCTTCCTTCCCTACAGCATGACTGTTTGTATGGTCATGTCCCCGCCTTGAACATACCAAGTCCGACTCCCTTGTTACTCCCTGGGTTCGACGTCTCCAATGGTCTTTCTCCTTCTCTACATGGCATGACTGTTTGTATGGTTGTGTGCATCTAGTTCGTGTTAATGGGGACTGCCTCGAGCCATTTTCGACCATCAGACTTTGCCACCCTACCTGAGACCGCGACCTGCTCCAATCTCAGCCGCCAATCAACAAGATTTTATGAGCATGATGGTTTGTACTGTATAGCTTACTGTCTTCGATCCACACCATTCTTTGATTTTCCTAGCGACACGGTAGGTACCATTCATGCAGCTCATTGAACCTTCCTGCGTACATTATATTGACATGTTAAACACGCGTGCTTTCTACATCTACATCTACCTTACTGCTCTGGGGCAAACAAGTAATTCAACTTGACGCCTTTGTTTATCTTCTGGATGTTCATCTTTGTTGATCTCCCCACCTGCTGGAGCCAGCTCCATGAGATTGTCTGCCAATCCTTGGAGCAATCTGATGTCGTCTGTGGCGTGTCCGTTTTTCCGACCTTCTGTCCCAACACGCAGGTATTTGTCAAACATCATGGCTGCTTTGAGATGTTGGGAAAAGTGGTCGGCTGCAATATCGCATCTGTTTTTATGCCTTACTGATCCGGTTCTTCAAACTATTATCATGTGCACTTCCGATGCTGTTCCTCCTTTCTATGACTTGGAGCCCAGTGCCCTGCCACCCTTTCCTTCGATGCTCACGGACCAGCTCGAGCTATTTGGCAAAGTCCATCGTCCCTCGACCACACTTATCGCTGATGAAGTCCTGGTTCCTAAAGCTAGTATCATTCTTCCCATTATAAGGGTGTCGTCCACACCCGCCCCTGAGTCTAAACTTGCAAAGTGGTCGCTGAAGCATTCTGATTGCTCTTTCTCCCCATACTCAAAGAAGGTCGCTTTCACACGTTCCGATTCTCAAACTCCTAAGCCCTTAGATTCAGCGAGCTCTTCGGATTCTCTGTCAGACAGTGACTCCACAACTTCAAGCGTGAATTTATCAGAAGATTCGAAGATTCCTAAACCTGCTGGCGAACCTGGGCACCCAGGGCGTGGAGGGTACACACTTCATGAGGCTTTGGATTGGAATCCAAAGGCCTACGTGAAGTTCAAGGTTCGCCGAGCATGCCCTCAGTATTGAAAAGCAGCTAACAAATCAAATCCCTAAGAAATATATGCACAGGCTCATTGAAGATCACCTTGACACGACACAATGTGCTTCTGCCCAAAGTGCTGCGCTCTTGAAAGTTGTGTGCGGCAAGGTGACGCCCGCCATCAGTCTCAGTTTTGTCAGTGATCTCATGGTGTATTAGGCTCTCCACGAATTCCTGGACCTTGAAGATTATAGCAACTCATGGCCAGAAAACGACATGATTATGACATGGCTCAAATACACGTTGGGTCGTGCTAGACGAAAGGAGGGAGAGATGGCTTTAGGCAAGAGCAAGAGCACGAGGCGTCAATCCGAGGCATAACATATCTACATAGAACTAAATCGTAATATGGACGAGATACCTTAATTCACAAGAGTGTGAGACAGACAAGGCGACAAAAAACAAAAAAATTGTCCGATTCGCAAAGTCAGTAAGACCACAACATTGACAAACCCTGCAGTTTCCCTCACGGCATGATCAGGCACTGAACGAGTTTACTAAGTCAGACTCAGGGCCTAATTAATGTGATTTTACTTCACGTCATGGATTTTGGTTTCGGCAATGCGACGCACTTTCTAATCCAGAACTGAGCGCACCCCACAGAGACAGAAGAAATGTAGCTACTGTTTCTCAGAATGAAGCAACTATGACAACACTAGGCCTATATCACCGTGCCCGCCTCCCCAAATTACAAAGCCGCTGTAAAAAGCGCTATGACACAAGTCCTGGTAATCTGAACCATATTTTGTTGTTGTTTTGTCAATAGTGACCGAAAAGTGAGTATCAGGCGACCTTGACGTTTGTTGTCCATCAGTCGGAGTAACTGTAAATTAAAAGCAAGTAACATGCGACGTCGTCAGGACACAATAGCTATGGATTATCCACGTTGGTTTTAGCAGGGCGACGATGTGCTTTACTTAGAACGTTGACGATGAAATCTGGAGAGAACCCACCGGCGATGTGGGGATAGTGGCGTGTTATGGTCATGATGCTCTTATCTGATGGATACAAAATTCTTTACTTTCGAGATGCGCAAACGTTGTTATTCAGAGGAAACTTGGATAGTGGGTGCCATTATAGGCCACATGAGTGACAAGGCCGCTATGGATAAGTGATATATGAAAATTAAATGATGTGAGAGAGTTGCGGTAAAGGGCCCAAACTATGAAGCTCGGCAGTCATGCTCGCTTGGCAAGGTAGCAGGCATGGTCGGGCTGTACAAGATCTTGCAGTAGAATACAGAAAAGTTCAGTACAAGACCAAGGCGGAGATCGCTTACTTTCGAGATGAGAATGTCGGACAAGAAAGAGGACTTGGAAAAAAGAACCTTGAAGTCACCAGCACCTCTCAGCAGTACAAACTGCTGAGGGTCAATGATGATATAGTTCCATGCACAGAAAATATGTACGTGACCGTACATACAGTCATGCCATTATAGTAGTCGTGCACCGGTTGTGGGAAGGGCCCGAAGGCCGTCGTGAAGTTCACAGCTTATTATGTAATAATTTTGATCGCCCTCAGCTCTAGAGTTCGTCGCCCGCCCACTACTGCCGAGCTCAATGGTCTGTACTGTCGAGGTTATCCTCCTCAATCTATGCGGGTCTCTGAGTACGACGGTCTGTACTGTCAGATTCACTGTTCTTGATTTCCACCATCCCTCGAGACCATCGTTGTTTTCTAGTGCACAGACATTGTGTCAAGCTTCATATTGGGATGAGTTCAAGTACAAGGAGACGTATGAGACCGAGTATTGGAGAAGTATGAGTCGAGTACAAGTGGGGAGACGTATCACAGACAGGTATGCTATGTAGATTGTATTACATCCAACTTGGTCCTACATCACGGTTGTGTTTAGATATTCATGGTCTCAGCCTCAGGATATTCTCCTGGCATTGTAGACCCTATCTCTTCATCAAGAGCGTTGTCGTGCTTCAAGGTATGCTCACTCACCTGCCCTGGAGATCATTTTCAAATCCTTTGATGACATACCCAGTGCCATTCCGAGTAATCCGAGTCCACTTGTCACACCATTCACAATGCAATATGTGATCGCATGTGGTATGAGATAATCGTATGTTTGTTTGGCAGTTCTATTGATATGTAATTCGTTCAGATTGCCTGAAGTGAATGGTCCGCCTTACTAGTCTGTCTGGCCTCCGCACAAGCAGCACCATATCGTCGACATCGACACATACCAATGCAGCTTGGAGTGCTATATGCACGCGCTTGCGAACCTGGTCAGTGCGGGGATCCATTGTTTTAAAGTAACATTTTATGTACTTGTCCGCGGTTTTCTGCAGCCTGCGAACAAGTCTTCTTCTCTTAGGGGACTGGTGACCCTTGCTTTTACTGCCAGCAATGTTTCTCACTGGAACGACGGCCAGGGATCGGATCTTATATTTGGTAAGCTGCAGGGTTTATCATGCAGTTGCAGTTGTTGCTAACCTCATCATCTTCCATAGTGGTGTCCACACATCCATATGTTTCACTAGCGGAGGCTCATGGGTAGGTCGATATCCATATCTGATCCTACCCGATGCCCTGACATTTGTCAGTGATGTAATGTGGTAAGTGATCAACTCACAACATCGTCTTCGCATCGTTGGAGCTCAAGCTGATAAGATTTCAAGGATTGCATCGATCCCCCATTCAAGTTCCTGAATCTTGTGTGCCTCCGAGGACCTTAAGGTGCGTTGGTGAAGCTTTGGAATATGGGTGTTGAACCGCATATTGAACGCGCTGTATTTGCAAGAAGGCAAGGTGTATCCCATAACTTCTGGCGATACTTACCGAGTTGAGTTTTGGACGATGATATTATACTGTAATCATTGTTGCGACCCAGTCATAGCATCCCTTGACTGCATTATGGTCGCTTCCTTACTCAATTGTCATCCCAAGTGTATTGTCATCTCAAATGCTGGAACGAAACAATTATGGGCCCTGATTAATGATTCATTAAGTTGCGTTTGAGAGTAGTTACATTCCGATCATACTGATGTCATGATGTAGTCGGATTCCAGCCGCACTCTTCCGCGAACTTCGATCTGCATTCGTCCGTCATTCAATGTTATTATCATGAAGCCAGTCAATTGTTGTGCTGTTGTTGCAGCCTGATAACAACACAAATCCTAAAGAAATAGGGGTGGTGTTGGAACAAGTGAGTGCACTTTGCAAGGCGGCACTAATCATATAAAATAAGCACTTATCCTTCATAGCTACTCCCATCTTTCAAAGCCAAACCCATAAAATGTGAGCCGCTCCTGTCAAACCTGTTCTCAATGCTACACGGTTTTTTTACAGATGTTGTCAAGTGTCGGATATGTAGATTCACTGTCATCATTGTGCTCCCTGGAGGTACATTAATTTGAAGCTACCACTGTAATGCCACCTGCTAACTATATGAAGGAGCATGCAACCTTAAAGTGAAAGGCTCTGGATGACTTCATAGACAGTTCTCAATGTCCCTCTCGCAAGAGGCATGCTTGTGCCTCCTATCTTCCGTGGGCCTTGGCGGCATTTGTTATGCGTGATATATCCAAACCTGCAAAAGCACGGAGAGGCACCTTGTCCTGCTCCTATGCAATTGTGGACCTAAATGTGATCCTGCTAGTATGTTCTCCCTGTATTTATTTTGTTCAAGTTCTCACTGTATTTTGCAGGATGCGTGGGCTCTAGGTTATCAATCTGGCGCTGCGGTGGACCTATGCGATGGAGAGCACTGCAACGTAGCTAAGCCCAAACTCATGAAAAGGTCAGATACATCATAAATATTGAGTGTAATGCTGCTCATTCCTATACCAAAGAGCCGAGGCAATGACATCAGAGATTGGTCATGAGTCTGCAGAAGAGGACTTCAAGAAGATGTCAAAATGCAAGGCCCTTGAAGAAGTTCCAAGCGGTTCTTCTCCACCAACCCCCAAGAGGCGCTCTTTGTCTCACTTGCCTGTAATCGCCAATCTAATCGTAAGTTGGCTAGCACCCCACAACAATATCTTCCATGTCTCACTGCATTTGTCACAGATACCGACACTTGGGACAGCGGATTCAACGATCCAGTCTCCACATTGGCCCTTCCCGAATGAGCTTGTCTTGAATATTTTGGAAAAGTTGCCAGCTCAGCATCTGCAGTCTATTGCACAGGTGTCTTGTTTCTCTTGGGAGCTAGTGGCACCTCTCTACTTTCGTTCTGTAGGCTTGCAGATCAATGACAAGTCCCTGCTTGTCAGCACCCAAGCCTGTCTCACCCTGCTCCTGTAGGCGCACAACCTTTTTTCACACGCCGAAGTATTTGCGATGCAATCTCCTTGACGCAGATGATCGTCACCTCAAGGCGCTCCTGGGTTTCTTGGAGTCATTTGAAAGCACGCAAGTGTTCTTTGTCTCTATCGTGAAAGATGGTGAAATGCTTGGAGATTTTGTGCCTCTGTTTCAGTCCATACAAGACTCAAGCTGCAGGAGTCTTCAGTTCTCAGGGAGGTGTCTTACCATGTGTATCCTCTGCCAATTCTTCCTGACTTAGCTGCTGTTCCAACCCCCCCCCCCCACAGATGTAATTTT